ATTAGGGGTTCTGGACCCTTTCTTTTTTTTTTTCTTTTTTTTTTTTGAGGGGTGCCGACAACCCCCGACCAGTAGGTGCCGACCAGCCGACCGGTCGGCGGGTCGGCAGCCGACCAGTCAAGGGTCGCCGATGGTCGGGTGTGCAACACTGACTCTCTTGATGAAGAAAGCGCCCGACTCGCCTCCAACTACGACTACTACTACTGGTGGTACTACTACTACTACTACTACGACGACGACGACGACGACGACGACGACAACAACGATGACAACGACGACAACGATAACAACAACGGCAATGCCGAGGACGACAACAACAACAGCAGCAACAACAACAGCAACAATGGCAACGACGGCAATGAAAACAACTGCGACAACAACAACAACAACAACAACAACAACAACAACAACAACAATGGAGACAACAACGACGACGACCACCTGCTGCTGGCTGCCTTTGCATCGCTCCAGCCTGCTCCAACCCAGGAAGGAATGCCCCTCTACCCTAGGGTATACCGATGGCAGGAAATTGTGAAGTATTACTAAGTTTCCGAACTACCAAAAATGTACCTCATGAACCTATTCTGGCAGCAGTATCCACGCAGGCCTGCCTTGAACCTTCTGGATTGGATCTACACGACTCTTCTGAACCTGATGGACTTGACCTGCCAGACTGGACCTCAGACTCCTCTGGACCTACCAGACTGGTTGTTGTACTGATCTTGCGGAGTCAAAGAAGGTGATGCACACGTTCACTTAACTCGCAAGTCGGACAATTGTGGAACAGAGCCACACAAAGTGGAACTAGTAATGATTAAACCTACTGGACTGGACATATGACATGTTCTGGACCTGTCGGGGTCTGCCTTGAGCCGACCGGACTGGGCGAACCGGACTCTTCTGGACCTGCTGGACTGGAACCTACCAGACTCTTAGGGACCCGCCGGACTGGACCTCGGACTCTTCTGGACCTGCCCGGACTCCTCTGGACCTACCAGACTGGACCTAGGACATGTTTTGAACCTGTGGGGTCTCCCTTGAACCTACCAGACTGGACCTACCGGACACTTCTGGACCTGCAGGACTGGAGCTACCAGACTCTTTGGGAACTGCCGGACTGGACCTCGGACTCTTCTGGACCTACTGGACTCCTTGGGACCTACCAGACTGGACCTAGGACATTTTCTGGACCTGTCTGATTGGACCTAGGACAGGACCTGGGCTTCATTCCTCAAAACTTTGAAATACGCAAAATCTGTTCCTACAAGACTTTTGAGTCCCTGTGCATTCGTTGCCAACTGTCCACCGTCTTTGCCCCAATAGAACGCCCGGGCATTATGGCTGCATGTGGACAGCAAGTTGTGCCAAATACAGCTGTAATGACGCGGCGTTCAATTCCGGTGGAGGCGGTAGTCTACAGCTAAGGCCTTCACAGAGGCTCCAATCCCAACATGGCCACATAGGGTTACCATTCACATGCATCTTCTTTTTGCCATTTTTCCACATACAAAAAAACACAGAAATTAAACACACACACACACACACACACACACACACACACACACACACACACAGTGTCACAGACACACACACACAGTGTCACATACACACACACACACACACACACACACACACACACACACACAAATTAAACCTGCACGCTTGTTTTTTTCTCCGGTCACAGTAGACAGGCAGATGGTCTAGAACGTGGAGGGAGTGTGACATATGATAACAAGGGCTCCGGAGAGGGGGTACGTGTTCAGGAATGGGATTTTTGTTAGGAAACCTTGGGCTGTTGATTTCTCTGGTTTTCTTTTTTGTCATGGCCTGTCCATTGGCTCCCCCCCCCTTGAAGAATGAGCTGGCCACTCATAGGCAGTGGCTTGGTTAAGGGAAATTATCCACCGCAGCCATAGCGAAAGCAAGTCTTTTTAGGGCTATTGTCACTGTCTATGGACTCGGACCCGGGTGATCTAGCCATGGCCAGGATGAAGCTTGGGTAAAACTAAGTGGAGGTCCAAACCGGCCGATGTTGAAAAATCGGTGGACCATGTATCTTGTTTTGCTGTGCTCTTTCCCTCTGTTGGTTATGCTCTTTTTTAACCTCTGGACACAATACAAGAGAAGGGTTTGCATTCCGATCGACAGGAACACATGCGAAAGATCGCAGAATCGCAAACCACGGCCCCAAAATAGGACTAGAGAGAGGATCCCCACAAGATCCCAGTTTCCAACACGCCCTCAGTTCGGCTATCGAAATAGAGTAGGAGCCACTGACCGACGTACAACCGGCCACCAACTGTTTTCAAAGTTGAATAATACTGGTCCTGCTGTCTGAGAATGGAATGTTATGAGAATGGCGGATAGCCAGTGGCACAGTCAGAATTTCCGCAATCCTCGTAAAAACATGCATGCCATCGTGTGGCCAGTCATGCGGCGCACGATCGCAAGTGCAGTCGACAGCTGCTATGTCCAGTCTTACGGCCCGACGATGGGTATGAATTGCTATGAATCAAATCAGCAATAGTCTTATCATTTTTTCAGACAAAATGTGCCCTACTCTTCAGGAAAATTTTCACTGCAAGCGGGAAGGAAGACTTGTCAATGACCTGGAGAATTAGTTCCTGCACTTTCTCTGAACTTAAGAGATCGAAGGTCAAAACCCACTCTCTTTCTTACCTCCTTTGAAATAACAGCCTTGTGAGTAGAGCGAGTACTTTTTTGTGAGAATTCCCCCACGGCACAGAACCAACCAACAAGCCCCCCAATAGGACGCTGCCACAACTCACGTCCACGCCAAGGTTGCGAAAGCAACAGCCGAAGTTCACCCTTGTGAACAGCGCGTCCATTCAGGGTGAAGAGCAGCGGAGACACAGAGAAAACACACCCGTCCTGCAACCACCCCTTTGCCTCCCGAAGTGCACATCTCGAATGCGAGCCAATAAACGTAGGCTTCCCAAAACAACGGCGGGTCACAGACCATTTATCCGCCAAGCAAAGCCCCCCAAATACTCAAGCTCCAACTTCCATTGATTACCGACGAATGCCGTCTGCAAAATGGACAAAAGATTATCCTCCCATTCACCATTGCTAAGTTGGAACCTAATAAAATAGCCAAAACGACCATGACCAGTCTTGGAAAACGGTCTCCTTCGTTGAGAGTCCTGAGACAGCCTCGCTCTTTCAATATACCTGCGCATGATATACAGCCCGGATTTCGAATCCCATGAACCGTTGAACTACAGACCCAAGCTCGAATCCCAATCAACTTAGGTCAGCAAAGATTCCTTCGTTCCTTTGTTCCTTCCTTCCTTCTTTCCTTCCTTCCTTCCTTTCTTCCTTCCTTCAGTCAGTCAGTCAGTCAGTCAGTCAGTGAAGAAAAGTCCACCTGGCGAGAACGGAATTCTTGTACGGACGCCCATTCGTCTTTCAAGTTGTGATACTCTTCAGACAGAGCCGTATAGCGCGATGACCATTCCTTCACTGTGCTACCCACGCGCCTCTCAGCCTCTGCTACTTCTGCCTCTCTGACTCGGACAACCTCGTCAGCTTTCTGCAAAGTGACAGCAAAGGCCAAGAAGAACAGAAACAGGTAGTGGCAATCATTGGTACCATTGATTTCATTACCATACCAATGGCGTCATAGAAGTGATTCAGAAGCATAATAAAGAAACCACCTTTCTCTCCCAAACAGCATACACGCTCGCACACACACTGAAGAAAAATGACCAGGGGCAGTATACCTCCCCCTTTGCTCTGCCTCCTTTCATAGTGTGCAAGTGGGTCGTTAAGGCGAACCGGGATGTGGGCACCTGGCCCTCAACCGCAATCACAATCAATATGGCCGGCCTTGTACGTGAGAGGCACATTAAAAGAAGAGCTGCAAGAGCAAATGAAAGGGTACCCCAAAGGACCCCAAAGTAAAGATAGTCAATTGTGATCCATGTTGCTTGCTGTAGAGGTCAAGCTGTGTCGTTGTTGGATTGGCTCATCTCAAGTGTGCTTGATTGTCCGCAATAGAGGTAAAGCTGCTTCGATTTGGATGTACTCATCTGGGTGGAACAGGGGCTGTTGTGGTGAAAATCCAAAGCACACACAGCCAGGGTTGGTGTGAGTAAAGTCGACCACTTTTCTCTTTCTGGGGCATCGCTAACTCTGGGCGACATGGTGAATGCATCCTGGGCAGACTGTCAGCAACACACAGCCAGGGAGAGAGAGAGAGAGAGGGGGGGAGGGAGGGAGGGAGAGAGAGATGGGAAAGAAAAAGATACAGCTGCTGCTTGATATGAAGTTATAAACACATGACATGAAAGTGCAAGGTGGGTTTTGAGGCTGAAGGTCATGACAGGTGAACAAGTCTTCGTTTCTTCTTTCTTTGTTTTTCCTTTTTTATTCTTTTTGCCCCCTTTTTTTTTTTTTGACAACCGATTCAACTGAACAAGTAGTGTCGCAAGGGGAATTTCGGTCCAGTGCGTTCTCTTCTGTTTTTTGAACTGCTTTCATTTCCCTCGAGGGATGCGGGGAATTTCAGGTCCCTTGTTTTATTCTGGACTACATCACCCATCCATCCATCCATCCATCCATCAATTCCATGTTCTTTGGTTAGGTGAGTTAGGTCCTTACCTCCGCAAGACGCTTCTCCAACCTCTGTATCTGGTCGCTCCGTTTGTCTATTTCCTGTCTCAGAAATTCTGTGATCTCATACTAGGATATGGAAAACAGGACAGCACCAAGTTCATAATCCAAGGACAAAAGGGGACACATCCATTCAGAACAGCACACAATATGGAACACAACAGCGTCAAGCTCTATTGAACATGCTCCAAAAGTAAGTCCAGCATCTAAAAAAAATAAAAACAAAAAAAAGGAGGAGATAGACCAGAATCTTCATTCCCTAGCAGGACAAAAAACAAACTGCAATGAACCCAGTCAGATGGAATGCTCGTCAACGTCGAAACACAGAATGTCTCAGCGCAGTTTCATTGTCTCCAAAAGTGTACATGTAATCAAGTAATCCAATGTCTCGTGACCAGAGAAGAAACTGAAGGGAGGGAGATAAGACTTAGAGGGTGGAAGATAAAGTATCCATCATCATCATAGATAGATCTCCCTTGACCCCACTTCCTCTTCGGGCATCTCCCACTCGCCACGTCAGCAGACAGTCTCCTCTGACACGCTCTGACAATGAGCAAATCACCGCATGGTGCCACTTGGCGCAGACCTTCTTCTGAAGACGTACAGCAATGCGCAATGTCGACACAAACGCAAACAGGTAAGCTTTCCCTCACATTCGACCAGTCTCACAGCCCTGATCCTCCTCCTTTCCCGTACTCAATCAATGTCGTAATCAGTGTGGCGAGAGCCACGACAGCATAATCAAGTGTCTAGCTGGCGCCGAAGACAGAGAAAGGCACCAGCACCAAGCAATAGCAGTCCTGCGTCGTTGCATCAGCGTCAAACCAGCATAGCGCCAGCGTCAAGCAGCATGTGCAAGACTGAATGTCGGTCAGCAGGGGCTGGGTCAACTTATAGTGTTGACTCCAATTGACCAGCCTCTGGTCTCTCAGATACAATGGCCCAGATTGTCTCGCAACCAATGGCCTGGATCCCGTACAGTTGCAGACTCCCACTTGGACTTGATTCCTTATGGATACCTGCAAACAGCCAGACGTGTGTGTCTGATTGGTGGCCTGGACTGGGTCCATGTTGACTTTGACTCGTGGGCCTGAATTTCCGAGTTTCTGTTGACTGTTGACTTTCCTTGGTCAACTGTTGCACGTTGGGCCTCTGTAGGCCAGTTTAGCCCTTGTTTCGGGTACCCCACAGCAGCAGGCCTTCTTTCGGGCAGTTTGCATGACTTGGGCATGGTCTTTGACCCCTATTTCGGCCCTTTGACCAAAGTGACGACTCACGGCCCACGACTGATGCATTATTTGAGCTGAGTTTGCAAAACAAACAAACGACAGATGTAGACAGTGAAACAAAGAACCAGGTTTAAAAATCTTATTAGTAAGAAAAAGAAGGAAGATGAGAGAGAGAGAGAGAGAGAGAGAGAGAGAGAGAGAG